TTGCCACAATCTGCACACCGCACGCCAGTGGTTGGTTTAACAGGGGAAAGAAAGAGAGTCAAAACTCTGCCGAGTTGTTGTCAAGGACATGGGTGACCAGAAAACGGTTAGGCAGGAACACAGGCACAGCAACACGAACAGGACAGCGACAAAGATGGAGAGAGAGAGAGAGAGCGAGGGAAAGGGAGACGGAAAGTGCAAGCCAAGACTGGCCGACACAAATTGCTTCAAACACCTTGGCAAAGCAGCAGACGGAAGAAAAAATTGGAACTGAGTAGACAACTTAAAGTGCAAAAGGCAGGACAAGTAATAGAAGATGTCCCAAGCAACAGGAGGACACGGGGAGTGGGCTATGCTGATGGGTGATGGCTGGGTGGGGTGTGGTGGGGACATTGCTTGTCTACTTAAAAGTTTTCAAAGCGCTGCTTACGGCACGTGCGGAGTGGCAGGGAGAGATAGGAGAGAGATGGAACGAGGTGAAGAAGGAGAGGGAGAGGGGGCCATGTCCCAGCCATGAGCTTGGCAAGCAAGCAAAGCGTATTAAAACACAAAGCAGCATCATTAAATGTTAAAAGTTGCCTTTGGCAAAATAGAGAGAAAAACAGCGAGCCGAGCGGCGAATACCCATAGTTTCAGCAAAACTACAAGAGCACTACAACCATCGGCACAGCACGGCAGGGGGGATGGAGGATACTGAAAATAAGAACACGTAAGGACAATGCTGCACCAGTTCCGGACCGCAGATGAAGGAGCAGGAAATTGCACAGGCATCAAGTGCATTACTCAGGTGATTTCCAGAAAGAACAAACAGACACCACAAAAGAAACAATATCCCAACGCTCGCCACAAAGTCAGGCAACAAACAATCCGTTAATAATTATAACTGAAAGTGCGCGGCACGGACGGAGAACAGACAGAATGGAAAAGAATACCTGCAGGCCGGAAGGTTCTTGTATACCCAGGTATTGCGTATACGCAACGTATTCCCAGATACAGTTTCAGCTGCAGATTCTTCTCCATCAAGGTGGCGGCAGCTTTCGGTTGATTGCGATTATTTTGGATAATACAAGCGGCAATCAGCATGGGATTTCCTGGCCCAAATGCATTTTGGCCAACAGCCAGCGGGCCGCATTGTCTTTATATTAAGTTCACTGCTTTTTGAAGGCTGATGAAGATTTCCTTTCATTTGGACGCCTTTCTGCTCAGTCCTTCTCCTCGTTCCTGGCACAAGCCTCGATCGCAAGTGCAGCTCAAGGTCTCGCAATTAACTACTCCTTCAGCCTGCGGACCCTTTCCACTTCACTTTCAGAATTCCAAAGTTTTTCCGGCGACAAATTGCAGACGATAAGCTGTGGAAATGAAAGCGCACGAAAGCAGCGCCAGTCGACCACTGTGTAATCCGATTTTTCCAGGTTAAGTTGTCTTTGTTCTTGCCAATGCCAACTAGCAGCAGGTCCTCACCATTTACCTTTCGCCACTCCACGGACGAAGAGCAGCCACTGCATAGGCAGCAGCCCTGAGTCCGACAATAAAATACGCGCTGTGGCAAGTGGATCTCCGCTGAGAGCTGGCCAGGAGTGGGGCGCATGCGGCATCATAAAATATGCATGCAAGTGAGTGGAAATCAGACGGCGAGATGTAGTTGGGCAGCCATAAACGAAAGGTGTTTGTTTGCCATAGAAATGAAATTAAATTTTCCCGCTTAGGTATTCATATTTTTGTGTACCCTTCGAAACCAATGAACCAATGAAGCGGAGCTCCGTCCCGGGTACACACACACACCCATTGCAGGGCACTAAAAATTGTTTCGCCGCTAATCATAAATTGGAAAATCAAATTTATCCTCGGGCTGTAGTTCATTATTCTCCTGATGCTGTTGGTGCTGCCTGCTACTGTGCGGATATGCTACGATCCTGCTGCTGTTGTAATTATGTTGACTGTGAAACAATTTTATGGCAGATTGAGTTTTATTAGCATGCAATGTGCGTCGAGAGGATAGCAGAGAAGTAAATGTTTTCCCCTGCACCCCAGCTACGTGTACAAACATGGATATATATGTACATATATCCAGCCACCCATAGATGTACATACATCGTATATACATTTTGTGCCCTGGAGGATTGACGCCAAGGTAGAGACTGATGCTTAGGCTCAGATGGCAGCACCTTTCAGTAGTTGTCGCTGTCATTGCCGTTGTTGTCCTTATCAACAGCGTCAACAAAAAAGTTTGGCAAAAGCATCCTACAAATGCTGGAGCCACACGTAGATACAAGTCCCCCAGAAGGTGTGTGTTTTGGATAACCTTTTGACGGCATTATGATGAGTTTTTCTTTTGCTTTTGCCCAGGAGCCCAGCCCCCGATCCCAGCACGAGCTTCAGACCGAAACAGGGACCCACATCCAGAGCCAGAGCCAGACCCGGACTAAACTCGTAAATACCTTCATTATCGTTAAATCATGCTGGGAGAGAGAGTCTGCAGAGGAAGCTGGCAGAGAGAGAGAGCTCATGTCCCGTGTCCTGTGTCCTGTCTCGTGTCGTGCCTTTTATTTGCCCTTTATTTTTGGCTCTCGCTTCGTTTCCATTTCCGATTCCTCTCCGGGCCGTGTGCCTGGTGTCTGTGCGGCTTTGGGAATGGCTCATGTGGAGTTTTAAATAGATTTAAATGCACATTTAAATGAAATAAATGAGCAACATTTCACGAGACTCACTCTCTCCCTCTGACTGCGAGACTCATTGTTCTGGCCGTGTCTTTGCTGCAGCACTGGTTCAATTATATATATCAGCTCCACTCGGTAGAGGGCGTGGCCAGAACTTTTGTGGCCATGAATCATGCACAAAATAATTATATATTTGTGTCTTTGTAATGGTCAAAGTTGTGTGCTATTTTCATATTCACGCCTAATAAACTGCCAAATTAGTAGACAATCAGCCATAGGGCAGCAGAGTGCACTACAAGTCTAAACAAAACATTAAGATAACGCTGGATATATATAATAAAGAAGTGAATATCTCGACTGACGAATACTCAATACTCGTACTACATTACGCACAACTTGGAAGAAAAATATTTTATTTGGAGTGGAGAACTTGGCAGGAATGTATAAATAAAATATACCCCTGGGACCGATCGATATGCAGTACACACTGAAAATACTGAATCAGCTGAGTCTCTATAGCGAAGTGGAAATGCCCTGCCATGGCCACGGATGTTTTGAGCCGGCGATGGGAAGACCAAAAGTTACCAAATTACTCAGCCACCTGTCAACTGTTTCGCTTATTTATGATGGCAATGTGAATAAGGAACAACTTGATGCCATAAAAATGCAATTAGATGGAAATTTATGATAAATTTCTAAGCTGTTAATTACAAAACATTCATAAATTATCCACTCAATGCTCGAACGGAATTTCTAAACAAAAAATCCCTTATTTATTATGAATTATACGATGCATTTACTGTCTGTCCGTCCATCAGCGGCTCGTTCTGTTAGTGGGGGGAAGAAACAAATTTTAATTAAAACTCCAAGTTGGCAAACTTTTAACCTAAGAATTTCCATCCACATCCTCAACCAGTACCTTTATTGGCCTCTGGATTCGGAACCCAGAAACTTATGTACTTGGAGCCCGGACTGGTTAAATTTCAAAATAAATGCCACTAAAGTGCAAACTAGTAAAAGTTTCTAGTGCACAAAGTGTCGAAAAGTTCATTCATCAGATAAACATGAATGCACTGTGAGTGTGTGACTGAATTAGTTATGCATTCATTTTGTTTGATGAACTTTTCATAGGTTTTTGTGGCCAGCACCACACTCTCCCAATTGGTGTCAAAAGATTTGACATATGAGTCAAGTTTTCAGGGCTTGAGGTTGGCCCCTTTTTGCATAAGATATGCCCAAACACAGATCGGTATGTTTGAATTCATATCTATCAGTAATAAAAACAAAAATTGAATACAATGGATTTTTATTCTGTTGAGTTCAGTTGGGATCAATCTGCCGAAGCGAAATGTGGTCTACAAATTTTGGGAGCTGATCATTGGCCTGGTGAACATTGTTTTTTTGCTCGGACCTTCTGCCAATTTTGGATAATAGTAAGCACGAGTATGTACGCGCATGTGCCACAAATCGGATCCGTACAGAACTCTTTTCTTGCAGCATTAAAATTTATATAATATGGCACCGCTTTGCAGGCCACCGTCTTGGGGGTGCTCCTCTTTGGGGCACTCATGGCCGATCCGCAGCAAAGGATTAAGATTCGGCTCTTCCGGCTGAATGCCTCTATCGTCTACTTGAGCAATGTTCTCTCAATGACTCTTCGGTGGATAGATATTCCCACGGCGCAATATAAAACCGTGTAACTGCCGGTAAGTGGGAGTCGATTTGTTTCATGTTTGCTTTCTCGCATAGGTTTTTTTTAGTTTTTTTTTAGTTGTGCTTATCCTTTTCTACACAGGTACAGACAAAGAGACATCAGTAAGGCCACCTTCATATAAAGAAAGGGACAGTTCGGGTAGTGTACAGAGGAAACTGTGCCCATTGTTGTGTTATACATATCAATATATTTAAATTATTCAAGCTATTCAATAATTAAATCTACACTTGTCTCAAAACAAATTAAACTCACTGTTATATATTGATTCGGTAATTCATAGTCGATTATTAAAGCTTTCGGATTGACAAGCAAAGAGCGCGTCTCATACCTTATCGATTCGCAGATAAAAATGTGTGTACAATATTACATATGTACGAGTATGTATTTGCACCTAAGCAATTTAAGTGCATATACATTTTGCTGAACATAAATTAAATTTATTTGAATAAATAATTTTTTGTTGAGTACTTCAACAAAGTCTTCAAATACAAGCACAATGTGCCTGTCCATACAGTGATATATTCTGCATATAGGAAGAGATTTCTTTAAGTGTACAACATCGACCCTTATCTAAAAACCGATTAGATTAGGATACAAATAACATCAGTCAATTGTCGGCAAAAGTCAGTTATAAGTGAACCATTGAGGCGGGTGAAAGCTAAATCGCAATGAGAGCCATATTCAATTCGCGTCTTTTACAATTTACCATCGGTCTGATGGGGATCATCGTGGCCTCGGCGACAATGGCAATTCCCTATTTGCGTAGGTGTTGACTGGAATAGACTTGGCAGTTCCCCTCTTTACTGTAGAACTCTCCCCCATTGCAGTTCAGAGCAAAGTACTCGGCATTGTACGGGCCCTGGAGCTGACGGCCTCGGGATTACTCATCTTTGGGCTGGTGAAGAAGCGGGATCTGAACAAGCCAAAGATCATGATGGTCTGGTTGGTCTGTTCCCTGTTGTTTGTAACCGGCATTTTCTACAACATTTTTGAGGGCTTCTGGATGTTCTACAGAATCGGTGTCTTAACATCGATAATAGTTACCGCCTCGTCGTTGGTTGCGGCAGGTGAGTCAGAGCCAGAAACGCTTTCAGGGAACCCCCTTTAACACAGTGGTACATACATATATATGATTGTACATTGCAGCTGTGATGTCTGGCCTGATGGTTGTGGTGTACAATGGCTACGAGAGGCTGGTGGATGGCAATGACGAGCAGATACTTACAGCCTAAGTGGAAAAGTTGTGGAACCAGCTCCCCTGCTCGAAGAAGTTTCCCTGTGATGGAAGAGGATCGTTGCTGAATAGAAGCTCGACTAATTACAGCAGAAGCTTACTACGGATGGCAGCATCATCAGCAGCCATAGCACATCCCTTATGTGAAATAATTTTAATTAAAAAATGTCGCTTTTCACATGTTTCCCCAGTGCCTTGTGCCCTGTGCCCTGTCTCCAGTCCATCCGTTGCCACTCGTAAAGTTTGTGAAAAGTTTGTCAATTTGCATTCGGCTTCTCTCGGGAAAGTCCACGTTACTACTGTTTTCTGCTGCATTTAATTAGGTCTACCCCAACAGGCAGAAGGGACGGACCAACACAAATTATGCCTCTGAAAATGAATTTCCGGTTTAAATTAGGCCTGCAAAAATGCGAATAATAAATAAAATAAACTAAAGCAGCTATAGCCAGAGCTTGACCAAATTCTCATTACCTTTTCTGTATTCTCTGCCTGTCCATATGCATCGATCGATTCCCGTTTAATAGCTGGGGAAGGAATATGAAAGCATTTTGGTTGAGCTTACGAGTAAATATGTCAAATCATTGCGGCAATTTCGATGCGATTCAATTCGATTTGGTTCGCTTTGGCACGTATTTAGAGCCGAGCAAGGTCCAGGCATAAAAATTATATTAAATTGGCATTAAAATCATGGCCTGGTCATTGCCAATAACAAGAGCATCCACAGCTACATGCACAGCCACAGTCAGCAGCAAGTTCAAATGGCCATTAAAATAATAACCAGACCAAGCCAGACAGAGTCCGGCAGAGTTTCGGTTAAGGTCAAAGGGCGAGTGTACAATGCCTGTGTGCCTTAATATGAGTCGCACGTGCCCCAATGGACTCTCGCTCGGCTCGACTCTGGCAAATGTGGCCACTGCCACATACTTATGCAAATAATCTTGGCTCTTGTGGGGCTAATAGGTGTCCAAAGTTTCGGTAAATGATCGCATTGTAGCTTTAGCACATCAGAACATTAATGACGGCTAGATATCGTTTCCGGTCACCGGTTAAGGACAGGACCCACCGCTGTTCGCTGTCCGCGGGGCGCCTGGCCATTAACTCATTAGCACACAACTCTCATGGACAGCAGGCGACTTTGATGGGACAGCCGCCGCTGGATAGTTGGATGGAGTTTCAATTACACGGAATTAAAGCTTTTGGGGGCAGTTGAAAGGCTTCGCCACACTTCCCGGGGCCATAAATTATGCAGCCAAGTATCTGACAGCAGAACAGGCCAAAGCCAGAACCGAATGCGAGGCAAACTAAACGCGATTATCTTAATTTATGCAGGGCCTGGCCGAGCGTAGGGGACGTACTATTACTTATGCGTATGCGGTGTTTTCTGCAGCCCTTGAAATAAATATAAATTGCAAAAACTGTCAAATCCAAGCAGCAAAAGTTCACGTCCGAGTACGAGTTGGCGTGGCCTGGCCTGGCCTGGCCTGCCCTGGCCAAAAGGGAATGCAATGGGCCAAAGCAATTCCTGTTCTTGGCCATTCCTGCTGCTCTCCTTGTGTGTTTGTTTTGTACAATAAAGAAATTTTTATCGCTGCCGCATTTGACATTTGAAGTATGCGCTACAAAATTTATTGTTGCTTCGTTGTTTCAATAAACAACAGCAACAAAAAAGAAGTAATATAAAAGAGCAAGCGAAAGGAGAATCCATATCCAGAGAACCCGATTGGAATTTCAATTTAATCTTTTATCTTTGGCCCAGCCGTTCGTCTCTGACAGGAAAACACACAAAGGGAAGGCAGTACAAAGAGGCTTAGAGGTAAGATTTACCTGTTGAAAAATAGTTGCAGAGGAGAGACGAGTAGACGCTGTCAGCGTGAAAGCTTGCTGGCGTAATTGTGTCGGCTGCTGGCCACACTCTCGGTTATGACTGCCAGCAATCAGCTTATAAATATTCCACAGCTAGACCCCAATAAAACGATTCAGCAAACAAGCACCTCGATGAGCAGACCATGAGTGAATGAAGCAAGGGGAAAAGTTGCATTGTCCTTGCCAGTCAGAACAGACTCCTTATCCATAGCACGTGCCCGATGCAATGACTAGCAGTAGCTACTGTTGCTTCAAAGGACACCGTAGTTGCCACCTGCTAGTGGCCCAATGACGCCATGTACACCCGCAGCTGCTTGCAACGTGACGTCAATGCGAATGCGCTTCGATTGCTGCGAATACGCAATGCGAAAAAGTTGTATCTTCTGTTCTGCATAACAATGGCCGCTGCGGTAAGTGTGACAATAAATCTCGCTGTCAACCAACATTTATCTATATCGCAGCCGTTTCCTGTGCGAGTGCGCGCGAGTGTAAGTTTTGTTAGGTGCTGGAGGCACTCCATTACCTTGATTCACTCCTCTCTCTCTCACTTTCTGGCGATTTTTCCGCTTCCTTTGGAGTTCATTGTCTCTTTGACCAGACACCGAATGGGTGCGTGGGTGTGCGAATCCTTTGTGTGAGTGTGTGTGAGGCTCATACTCACATTAAATTTGTATGCCTCGCGTGTGCCTCGTCGCAGCCAAAAAATAAAATAAAAACACGCAGAGAAATCCCACCAAAGGCAATAACAATGCACCCGCTCCACTTCGTTCCCTTTTGGCAATCTCTGGGGCATAATTTGCGTTTAATGAATTGTGCAAAAAGATTTTTATTCACTTAGCCGCAGACACATACAGAGAGACTCACTCACAAACACACACACAGAGACAGGGGGACACATTGAATTGGAGGCCTGAAGCAGGGACACAGGGCCATAAGCCGCTTAGGGGCATTTTTGGTCTAGCAAATTGAAATGCTGCACTGCGTAAGGCAGTGCTCCTCTGCTTCAGCCAGGATTACTTTTCGATCAATTATTTGGTCATTAGTGTTACAATAACCCAAGTCGGATGTGTGGGCGGATGGGGGCAAATTGTTTGATCGATGAATGTGTACAGGACATGGCACAACTAACTAATTAAGATTAATTAGTGGAACGGAATTTTCAATTACGATTGCGGGGCTTAATACCCATTCAGCATAAAGTAAAGCCTACCACGTGGCAACTTAAAGCCGCGCCACGCCACGCACATCCACATCCACAGATACAAAGCGAGGAAGATGTCAGTTCATCATTTCAAGTGCAACAACACGAAGAATCCTTAACACCACATCAAGCCAAGATGATGGCCGTTGTGACAACAACACCCGCCAAACTTTTCAAGAAGTGGAGCTCCCCGCCCCCCAAACACAGTGGAACACAAACGTACACACACACACACAAAAAATTGAGTATGTAATTTACACGCTTTTCCAACCCAGTCCTCTATCAACGTCAGGCAATGCTTTCCCTGCTATCGGACATTCTACCCACCATTGCTGGGCCACGGCCCCGGCCGCGGATACGCCTTTATCTGACGTCAAGATGCGGACGTACGAAAAGTGCCCAAATGTGCGTGTGTCCCGCATTTAATGCGGTCTGCCTGGGCGATAAACTTTTGCAGCTGTCTCGGGCCCACTTCCAGTTCCACTCCCACCACCAGCCTCACTCCAGCCTCTTTTATTTGGCATTTTTTGGATTGCCGCCTTCCGTTTGGCTCAATCATTTTACGTCTCATAAAACATAAATAGAAATCGATTCGTGTAGGGGTCCCAGTCGCAGTCCCACTCGGAGTAGTCTCCGACTCAGACTCCGGCATTGTCATTGTTTCGTCGGCGACAATTTGAATTACCCGTAGCAGAGATAAAAAAAAGTCGAAGGCAGCCTAGCCTATAGGCTATAGAAGTGGGCATACACTTTCCGCTTTCCATTCTCTGTTTGTATGAGACCAACAATCTTGATAAACAAACAGAACTGAAAATATTCGTGTAGCAACTTCAGTTTGAGTTCATCTGCCGCTGTGGTTTGTTCTCTGCAGAGCAGTTTCTTAAATTCCAGGTTGCATAAGTTATTGAAAAAGCTAATGTACCTTTCGCAAAAACATTCAGATACATTTACCAGTACTTACTTGTATGCTTCACGTTGTATTCTCGTTGCTGCTGGTTGCTCTCCAGGGCAACATTTGGCGGTTACTTGGCCCAAAGGCGGCCAAAGTCTATAATGTAGCATTATTTTATGTCAAGCCAAGCAATTTATTGAATTTTCTTTAACGGCACGATTTTCTTGCTTTTCTTCTTGCCGATCCGACGGCAAATGTGTTGAAGTATTTTATGGGTCTTTTGGGTGAATATCAATAAATTTTGTAATATGATAGAGTGAGTCAAATGATGATTGAAATCGAGCTTTGAGTTCGGTTTGCTTGTCTGGATCAAGTTGGCAGTGGCTTGAGCGTCTTCCTTTCTTCCTTTCAGTTTTGTCCATTTTGCAATGTACCAAAATCCAAACACACACTCACACACGCATACGAGCACAAATTGAATTCAGTTTTTCTTTACTTTACTTTTCCTGTGCCCTTTGTGCTTCCCTCGGAGATAGGTACCTCTTGCACGCTTTCTGCCATCTGCCATTTACTATTTGAATGGCTAGCAAAATAGATAAGAAAAATGCAATTTTCACCACACACACACACACACACACACACACACACACACACAGAGACAAGCACACCGAGAAAGAGAGACATATGCAACAAAACGAAATGGGAGAAGGGATAGTGTATTGTGGATAGGGGATAGGGAGGGGCATTGTACAAAGCTGCTTAGCCACAGCTGAGCCAAAGACAGCGCCAAATTCAATTGACGTTAGCCAAATCAAATCAAATCAATGGCAAATCAAAGCCAAATGCCACTAAATTTGTGTGATTTTTTTATGCAAATTTAAACGAAATATTTTCCCAGGGATCAGACAATGCTAGAGAGGGGCTGTGATGGCGAGAAGCGGGTTGTTAAGTTGCGGCTGGTGCTGGGGCTGAGGGTACGTACATATGTACATATCTGTCATACAAGTTTAATTGGCTAAAATTCTCCTTTATCTTCGTTGCTACCCAAAACATTCGCACACACACACACACATGCATACGTACAGATTTAATTACTCCACCGTTGGCAATAATTTATAATACTAATTAAAATTTCAAGCACGCACACACACAAACACACGCATAAATAATCACTGTCGAATGCGCCGCTGGCATTGAAAATTTTCATTTGCATGCAGACAGAACAATCTCACGCACCCACATAAAGATGTGTGTGTGTGTGTGTGTGTGTGTGTGTGTGGTGAGCACAACCTTTATCAATCAAATGTTAATTAAGTTTCAACTCAGGCAACCGAACAAATGCCAAACCAACTAACAAACCAACTTTTTTCCGCTTTCGGATTTTCCAACGGTGCGTTGTGCATGAAGCGGGGAGCAAGGAGCTAGGAGCAAAGGAGCAAAGGAAGAAGCCAACGACGACTCCGTTCGCTTCTGCTAAAAAATTAAATTGGTATGCTTTGGGGCAGGCGGCAGGTTATTAGGGGGAAGCTATTCACAAGTTATTACGCATACGGCATGCCAGCCCGGCGTATAAAATGCAAAAGTAATGCGCTCATCAAATAAAATTACCCAGCTGCTTTGCTTCTCCATCACGAAAAACTACACCCCCTTTTGACCCCACACCAACCCTCACCGCCGCTGGCAAAAAAGGGAAATATATGCGTTAGCGGAAACGGAAATGCTCTCTGACAGCCTCTCGCTCTCTGCCCCATCATGATATTGTCTGCCTTGTTTGTAATGGTTTTTTGGTTAACATGCGCACAGATTGATGCGTGGCCAAATTGTACACAGCCGCAAATTGTGGCAATTTCGGTTACTGTCAACGCTGCACATACACACACACAAACGGACACGGACACAGACACACAGACGGCCACGGACAAGCCACAGCCCACTTATTCAGGGACACAGAGGCATAAGCATGTGGCAAATGTGCAGGCAGAGGCACGTTTTTATGCTGCAGCACAGTGGGGGGCAAACGATAGCTGGTTTGCATGCCACCAAGAGGCAGCAACTAAACGAAAAGCAAAAATCCGTAACGCCGGAGACAGGAATCGTTGCGAAGGAGTTAGTTCCAGGAGCTGGAAGATGGCAAAATTCCACTCGAACCCTGCGTCGGTGCATTCTTATGCGAAGATTGTTGGAATGCATACATTTTTATGAAGAAATCTTTGTAATCTCTGCGATTTTTAAATAGTAAACAAATACTTCTTAGACCAGAACCTGCACGAAACTCTGAAACCCCACTGACAGTACATCTCCCGCAAGGGCTCAGCTAACTAACGGTTTTCCAATGCACTTTAGATACTCGTACCCCTCAGCGAAAGCTCTTATGAAGAAGTGTCGCCATTCGATTGGCTTTCATAAGGTTGAAGTGCTTTCCCTTCGATGGTGTTGCAGGGGGCGTATGCTTAACGTGATGTGGCCCAAGTCGCAACTGCAGCTGCAATTTGATAAAGCGAAGTGTGACAAGCGCAGCAACGCGAAAGGTCAGCCCACACGCTCTGACACCGCCCTTTCTCTGACATTCGGGCATTTGGAGCTGACAGAAGTCAAAACGGAATGGTGACAGGCAAGGGCAGGTGGGTGGAAGTACGTCACCGGAAGAAAAAAAGAAAAACAAATCGGTTGGCATGTGCACTGCGCATCAGCGTCAGTAACAGCAACAGTAATCCCCATTGATAACGCACGACATTGTCAGTTTTTGTGAAAGAGTGCGTTATTTATTGGGAGCAGCCTTTACCGAGCAGCAGCTCAATGTCAGTGGCCAGCACAGATGGCTCTGCTGTGGACCCGTAGCGACCGTAGATGTGGCCCCTACAATCCACCAAAAACTTTACAAAGTTCCACTCGATCTCGCCGCTCCGCAGCTCGCTGCGGCTTCGGGTGAGCAGTTTGTATATCGGAGCGGCCCCGGGCCCATTCACCTTGATCTTGGCAAAGACATGACCAATCTTGGCCTCCACCTGCCGTAGGTGGTCCACCATCTCCTGCCCATCCGCCTCCGGCATCTGCTGACCAAACTGGTTGCAGGGAAAGTTGAGGACACGCAGGCCCCGCTCCCAGTAGCGCTCCAGCAGCTGACCCAGGCCCGCATACTGATGCTTCGTCAATCCACACTGGGAGGCGATGTTTACGATAATCAGCACATGACCGGCAAAGTCCTGAAGATCCACCCACTGGTGGTACGTGTCCAGCACCGTGAGCGAATGTACCGAAAGCGCCCAGCGCATCTCGGACAGCTGTGCCGCCAGTCTGCAATGGGTAAGGATTGTCGTCGTGCAGACAATGGCGGCCATCAGGCCATAAAAGGCCACCACTTTGCTTGCCATATTTTGCTTCACTGTGGCAGTACTCGGTCCATCGGACCTTCGGAGGAGAGGCCTCCAAAGTGAATCGATTCGACAAGCTGCATTTGGGCTAATTGTGCGTAGCGGGACTGTGGAAAATCGGATTTAAATATGCGACTCTCTCGGTCTCGCTGCCCCAGCGCTTCTCCGGTTCGGGCATATGTCACAAAAAAAAAAAGCCATCTCAAATTGAATTTGGCCAAACCGAGCGAAAGTTGCATGCTCTGCTGACCCATGAGGCGAGTTGCACGTTAACTTAATTTTAAACTTTTTCTGGCAGTTCTCGATATTTTGCAAAACAGAACACCAACACACCCCCACACACACATCCACACATCCGCACGTACACATACTGAGAAAAACAACAAAAAAGTTGAGCAATCGTAACGAAATAATTGAATTTTCATTTCCGTTTTATGTGTTTACTTCCGTTTCATGGCATCGGCACCATTTGCCATATCCACCTCCATAGCTGCCACCCACCCCCTCAGCATTCGTGTGTATGTATGCGTGTACGGCCTTCAGTTTCCCGGCTGGGCTGGTTTCGGCCTATTTGTATACAAAAGGCAGTCAATTTCTGGCAACTTAAAGAAAGTTCTTAAGTCAATTGTCAAAAAGTTTTTAACATCTTTTTCCCTACCTCCCACCACCTCATCCATCCTTCTCAGCGACCTGTGTTTCATTTTCGCTTCAGAATTGAAATATAATTCGGCAAGGCTGTGCTTGTTCTTCTGGTCTCTTTTCCAGCTATACGAGTATATGTTTCTTTTGACGTGGCCATAAATCAATGGCAGGCAAAAGGCGTTCGACTGAAATTGATTTAAAATTCAGGCATGGACGTGTTGCTATAGACGGGGGCGGTCGTCGTCTGTCAAACGTATGGATGGAGCGAAAAACTGTCCGAAATGTATGTCGATTCAATCCCATTGTTTGACTGCAAGTGTAAGTACTGCAACTTAGGTTGCAGTCCCCCGTGTATATGTATGTATGTAAAAGGTTGATATGTTTGTATGATTGATATATGCATAGCGAAATGGAGAAAAATGGGACAACAAAAAATATTCAGAGAATGTTCAACGATATGGAAGCTGATCGAAATGAATGGATTAATAGATTTGAAATGTAATGTGCAACTGAAAGACCTTTTGGTTATGAGCTGAAAACAATAAAATCAGCCACAGAAAAGTACAAAAATTGATGATTGATTTGCGATATAACGAAACTAATTGGTAAAAATACTTTATACGCGGAACGCCTTTACACGCTGCACTGACTGCTGGGCTACAATGGTTGGCTCTAACATACTCGTAAAATCTACCAAGATTGGCTCACAGCTGGTCGTACAAACAAAGACTGATTGTCTTGCCACGCAATGCCAATAACCAATGATTATGTTAAAAGACATAATACTCACGCCCGCCGCCCGACCTTTGTAATTTTTGCATATTTGATGCACTTTGCATAGACTTAATAAACTTTGCCCCCAGTTACAGGTTGTAAACCCCGCGCACTAGACTCGTAAAGATGGGCAACCCGTTAAAGTCGCTGAACCACAACCAACGCGTTGTTTTATGGCTGCCACTGCCCCTGGGTAGATGCCCTCCGTGCATGTCCCCACTCGTGCTAGAATTGCCATCTGGTTTTGTCTAAGCGTCTGCAATCATTTCTCCTTTTGTTGCCACATTTTTTACTATTAACTCGAGCCGTAAAACGCGAACAGCAGTCCTCCGTTTTGGGAGCATTTTCTTGTACATATAACAGGATGGAACTTTTTTACAACTATCAGGGGTGCGTATTCGCATAAGTATTGGCATAGTATCCTACTGAACCACCTGATGGGGCTGTCGTTTACTTGCCACAGCCTCGTGCCGTGGCCCCTTCTGCTCCTGCAGCACCACTTGTCATTTGCCACTTGCCACTTGCGCATTTAATTAAGTTTCCGCTCCGCTGCACACGCTGAAAGGACGAAGGACGTTATTAATTAAATTCCTTTATACACAGGTTAAGCCAGAGACGACGCCTCCCAGGAGCGACGCCCTGACTCTCTGCCTCCCTGCCACTTGATGTGTGTCAACAATTGGAATACTTATTAACGAGGCAACTAATGAAAGTTTCCAAAGGAAGGCGTCATTTTACCTTTCTTTCGGTCTGTTCTCCCCTCGAAACTCCAACAAATCGAAGCGAAACATTGATTAAATGTTCGCAACAAGTGTTTTAGTCCTGATTCTGTCCTAGATCAAAGTCCAGTTGGGGTACACCAAGAGCTAAGGAACTTTGCCCAACATTTAACCCACTTTATGTTTTTCAGAGCCAATTATACTCCGTCTGCATGCAAATCCCCTCACAGCCTGTGGATGCACTGTGGATATGGGTTGGACCTAATAAGCCAAGACAGGGCCCAAACCCAAGCATGTATGCCCAATACATCAAAGGCAGCTGAAGGAGTTCAGGCATTGGCATTCCTACCCGATAAGAGTAGTCGTGGGGCAGGCACAGCTCCTTGGCGTATGCAAAAGGTATGTGTGTATGTATGTACTCGTATATTAAATATTTAAGCCCCTTGTCGAACCAGCAAATCCAGTAAGGGGAAAAGCGACTTATATTCAATACACTCAAAAAATCAACTTGGTAAAAAAAAAATGGAGAAAAAAACAGATTGGGGCAAGATCGAGTTGAAATGTGCAAATCCCCAATGCAGCATCAGCAGCAGCAGAGCACATAGCATGTAGTTGCCTTGCATACTGCCCCAATTCCTTATTTCCACCCCAGCACAGTGCCTCACTGCCTCTGTCCCCTTGAGCTGACCCCCCGAACAACATCCACTGCAATCGCTTGGCATTTACATTTAAGCTGATAAGCAAAAGTATCTTCGCCCCTGCCTCACATACACCTGAGCTCAAGTCGCCTTGAATCATGCTCCCCACACGAACGCACACACACACACACACACACACACACAGACACACACACACAAAAACATTGAAGCATTGAAGATGGGGGAGAAAGAATTGTTTGCTGAAAATGTCGCAAGTTTATGAAATCGCGTGAGCTGGCAGCAAGGAATTTACATTTGACGCACGCACTTTACATTATTAATGCCTCGAGCCGAAGGCGTCAGAGGCACAAGAAAAAAGCACAAATATCAAGGTCATCGGCAAGTGTATGTACTATTGGATACCCATTACTTGCTATGTCCTGTACGCAGGCACTTATCTTATCATTTTCCATATCCAAAAGGTATTTAAACCTTCTACAGATGTACTCCCATTGACTAGTAGCTCGAGGCATTTACTCTTATTTCAAATACAAGCGCGAATGCAACATGCCCCATCTTCTAGCATCCGAAGGCTAGAAGGTATGCAAATTAGAAAGCGTATTGGGTTATTAGTGCGAGTGTGTTTTGGGTGTATTTTGGAAAATTCTTCATGCATTTCGCAAATGTATCGCATTTCCGTTCTCTGTGTTTGCATTTTTACGCTTCGCTGAGAATTTTCCAATTTTGAGATGTGAGCTGCTAATATTTATTAATCAAGTAATAGCTACTCTCGCACACATGCACACATGACTACCCGCATATGAGACCTCGTATTTGTGTCCCCGTCCGTGTCCGTGTCCGCATCCGCGTCCGTTGTTCAGTCTGTTTCTGTGTGCGTTTGAGTTTGGCACGAAGAATTGATTGGAAATTTATAAGCTAAACTTTTTCCACTGTTTGCTTTTGTTTGCGGCTCACAAAACCAACTTTTTTGTTGCGGCTTTTTATTTTGTTTGTTTGCTGCCATTTGCAGCACTTGAAAAGGTCGCCCTCACTGCCTGTGCCTGTGTGTGTGTGTCTGTGGCTGTTCGAATAGCGTTCTACTCCACATATGGAAAATTTCATCAGAAAAAAAGAATTTGAAAATTCGGTTTTTTCGTTTTTTTGGGTCCTAGTAACCGTTTCCCAGCTCCCCAGCTGCCTGTCAAAGCGCCGGCTACGAGGCAGGAAGCAGTTCGATTCATTCCCATTTCCAACTTTGTGTCGAGCACATATCCCAGTCGAATAAATAAAAGTGAGTTAAGCAGAACCAAAAATTAAACAATTTAAGTTTTGAAAGTTTTTTGGACTATTTTACGGAAAAATTGTACAAATTTTTGTCACTTTTATTTAACATTATTTTATTTTTAATTTTGTTGCAGGGCTGTATTTAATCAATACCCAAATCGCCGATAATGTCCAACTTCAAGGTCTTGCTGATCTTCTGGTGTAAGTATGGGGGCTTCCACGGATATTCTCCGTAAGCGAAACTAATAGTGTGGTGTGGCTTTAGGTGCCGTGATTATGATGCAGGTCCAGGGCCTGCGCATCAAGAGCTCGAATATCTCTCTCCCGTCTGCGGATGCGGTGGATGCCACAACTGTGGGATCCACTTTTGGATCTTTGGTAGGACAGGACACAATGGTGGGAGCTGAAGCAGGCAACGGCACAACTGCCACAGCTTTGGCAACAGCCGCCAGCACAGCCAATCCTCCAGCCGCGGTCAAAGCATCCACTCGCCAAGAGGCTGCCCAGGATTCCGATAGAGCTGGCGTCTCAGGAGCGCCTACAGTCACCACTACAGCAGACAGAGTGACTTACATTTACGCACCTATAGTCGAGGAGTCGCAACGATTGGCGCCATCGACAGCGTCTTTACTGTCCGAGTTGCAGCGCGCCAGGCGCCACTTGTCGCTGATGAATGATGCTCCCTTAATGGCTCGTTCGGACAAGCACGAACAGCCGCCTTTTGAGTACCATAGCTTCTCGCCGGACGGCAATCACGAGATGAAAGAGTTTGAGCTGGTGTCCCCCAATCTGATGGCTGAGAACGTGCAGCAGGAACTCGACTATGAACCGGAAATGGTGCAACAGGATAATCAGCTCTTGAACGACCCAGAAAACGTTCTGCACGGCGGCCACATTATGACACCGTCTGAATACTATCAGAAATACAAGTTTCCGGTGGCTATGCCCCTGAGATTCCACATGTTGCATCCAGACTCAATGATGGGGGCAGCCATCAAGATGCACCACAGCCGCATAATATCACCGCTGTTTCAATTCCTCAACGGCGCCTTGGACCAGGCGCTGCAGAACAATCACGTTGCTATCGACCATCTCCTGGGTGATCGTTTGGAGCTCGAGATTGATACCAAAATGGGCAATGACAACAAGAAGGATAAGAAGAACAAGCGACAGGATGTCTATAAGAAGGACGAACTCAAGAAACTGTTCAAGATCAAGCAAGCTGCTGAAGTCGCACCCAACCGCAAGGTGGACGAAATCGTTTTCAGCTGTCCCATCCACCATGAGCACCATGCCAATGCCAATGGCGAAATAGTCAACGACGACGTTGTCTCCATCGAAAAGTGCCATGTTCTATAGGTCTCTAGGTCAAAGTATACCGGTAGGATATTAGGTTAATAGGTCGCTAAGATTTCGATTTGTGCTTTTGGGGTCCATTCAAAATTTGTAGGTATTATTTTAGCATTTGTTTTCTTTTTGGGGGTTTTTAGTTAAGTCAGGGAATTATTGCGTCAGTGTCAAATTGTTCAAATATTTTTCCTTTTTTTTTTGCGGTTTTTTGTATCAAAACTTTGAGAGCCAAAAAGTGATGTGAGATTATACATATAGATTGTAAGAAGAATCAGTGTATAGAAAGTTAATAGAAAATAAAATCCACTTGGGCCCTCTTTATCATTTCACACTTTGGAACAACAGATCCATATGAAGTGGCACGTGGCACTTGGCACAGCACTTCAGTTTTCCTCTTGCATGGCGCTTACCAATGTGTGCAGCATACTTTCAGGCTGCTCCATTGAACTTAAGGCCGTGTGGGTGATGGTGCGAGAACTTGCATAGTAAACCTTCAGGAATGCCATTATCATGTAGATTGGCAATTGTTTCTTTCGAACAAATATCACACTTCTTTTGCACCCATCCTATCCTGCCCTCCTGAATGTGCCACTTTTCCTTGAAGTTTTCCTTCGTTTTCATTAACAAAATCGATTTGCTTTTGGCCTCGTCTAACTGGAAATGTCCCACAGGGGTGGGAGTGCTCTGTTGGAGCTGGAGCTGGAGCTTAGGGCCACGTTGCCAAGGTGAAATTGATATGCCGAGTGCGACAGTGCAGCCATATGAGGAAACAAATCTAACAAATGCGCACACCCACGGATAAGGGGATATATGTATGTACATATGAGTATGTGTATGTACAATATCCAAAAGGCAAGACTTTTGCCGGCTGCTGCTGTCGATGCTAAATGCTGCTAATTTCATATACAATAAAACTAATGTAAATTGCCACTTGACGTTCACTGTGCGTGTTGCTGTGTGTGTGTGTAATACACACTATGTATGTGTGTGTGAAACACATACATAGACATTAAATGGGGCACATAATGTGTTGAAAAACGAAAGAGCACTGAAAGACAAACCAAACGTCAGAGCGGGTGTCATGGGTGCTTGGCCATCAACATAAATACAAATTTGCTTCACCACTCTATGTACATAGAGTGCACATATGTATGTATGTATGTACATATGTATATAATCTATGTGTGCGTATGTGTATTGCAGAAAAGCAGAAAAGTGCAACACAGCATTCGGAAAATTGCGTAGCTGCGACATCTATCCCTGGGGTGTTAAGTGGACTGTAAATGGGAATGTATGTGCCACTCTCTGGGGAAAGTGACCCTCCTTATTTCCACCCCCTACATCCGCCTGAGCACCAGCAACAGTAGAAGAATAGCGCATATATATTTATTTACAAGTGTAAATAATAAATGCTCGTGACATCTATTGGGGCAGAGCACTTCCATTCTTTAAGCCAAAGCCCTGAAAGCATTGAAAGTGCATTAACTTTTGCCATACTCTCGCAAAAAGTTTTGCAGTTACCCCCAGAGGCGTCTCAATAATTGGTTTAAATTCCGGCAATATAAATAAACACATTCTGGTGAAGCCATTCATGGCGAGGCAAGAGACACTTGGACAGACCGAGACCACTTCTGTTAATCTCTTTTTGCTTTTAAAATTTATGACTTCATTTTGAGGACAACAAAGACGAGACGTTGCCAGGAGATTGCCAGTCAGTCACTGAGTCCGTCTGACACTCTGTCTTTGTGTTTGTTCTTCTTGTTTGTTGATTTAACGTTATGGTTGTCATTTGGCAGCTTGTAATTATGCTTGCCACAAGTTGTTGCCAAAAGTTGTAATCTAGATTTCATAGTCAAAAACCATGAAGGCAGCATCAAGGCAACAACTCGCAGCAACAGCACAAATTCAATTGAACTGTTGAGTCAGCAAAAGCCACGCCAGATGGAGGATGGGTGGCAGCACGGCTTTAAGAAGCCATTAAATTCTGAAGTCGGAGTGTTTGCCTGGTGATAGACCGACCATTCCTCGTCGTGGCAACGGAAATTCTTTGTAAATAGCAAAGAAATAAACTGAGGACTATAAATAGTCAATCCTTTGTACATATAACATGGCCCCTTAACATTGCTTCGCTGGCAGTACTTATCAGACCTCGTTTGTACCTTTTCTTCACGCACAGTGCGTTTCGTGATGTTTTTAATGTTATGATGTTTGCTTATTGCTTATATCCATATCCATTCCCTTTTGCTGCTATCATCCTACATGGACTATGCGACTATATGACAACAGCATTATGCAAATTCCATTATCACCTTCGATTGCATGCCACTCACACACACATACAGAGAGTGACGGCCTAAACACGCAAAGTGGCGATGAAAGGACGAAGGGCCATGGGCTGAAAATTGGGAAAATCAATAAACAGATCACACTTTAAAGAGGGTTCAGTGCAAGACGAAGACTCCTTTTCAAGTCTCAACAGCATAGTGCATAGTGGCATAGTGCATTTGATGGTGCATTGATGGTAGTGTGGCACATAATTGAGTCATTGCAATTTGTTTTTTCTCTTGTTGTTTACTTGTTTCCAAAGTCAAATTTATTTCAAGTAGAACCGCAAAAGACAGGGACACAGATGGGATAGAGGGGAGGTGAATGAATAGCCTGAGAATGCCTCCATGTGTGGAGAAAGTTTTACAAGTGAAAACTTTGCTGTCAGAGATACTTTATGTGCAAATTTCTGGTTTGGCTAGATACACACACGCACAATGCGAATGTAGATGTACGAAGATACACTCCCCAACATGGTCAGCAATTTTCCTTGTTGCTGTTGTCAGCTGGCAAGTCATTTGCATGCACACTCACACACACACACACACATCAGACACCACACGCCACATACCAAACAACAAAATGCAGAAAAAGGCGGCAGGAGGAGCAGAGTCATGCCAGTACCAGCGTACCATCATGCATGCATGACAAACAAAACAAAAATACAAACCGAAAACAAAAGCAGCAAAAAACGCCTTATACTCGAAACAAGAATACCCAAAAACAGCAACATCTATGGCCAGGATTTGAAACAACTACAAATTGGCCCACAAAAGCACTTGGCATATAAATCACATTGTAAAAGACAAATTGAAAGATGTTGCTGCGGGTCCTGTCGTTTACCCCCCCCCCGATACCATGCAATTAACATGCGAACAGGGACAGAATTCAGGGCTCTTTGGCAAGTAGGCCAGACCACAATGCTGACACCTCCGCCATTAAACATTGACACATTTGTTATGCATACTTTCAATGCCAGCAGATGAGCTAGCTCTGGATGAGCCCTAGTCTCCTTATTAGGAAACAACAATTAAATGTCAAGTCTACTGATTAATCCAAATGTAAAATCCATTTGTTGGGAGAATCTTCTGCTGCTCCTACGTGACCAGGGAACTTCAAATCTGTCTAAACTCCAACCAGAACTGCTTCGTAGTCTGTGTGTAAATTGAAATTTCTCAGAGCAATTGCAAGACACAGTAGCGAGTGCCTATAAATATCTGAATGTATGCCGAATAATATGCTACGAATAGTCCCCCTATCAAGCATAACTAAATGCAGATACAAGGAATCATACGCAATGGCCATGTGGATATCCCTAACAAGCTCCATTGAGGAAAACCCTCACGATTTGCATGCATAAACAATGATTATCAGCAAGCAGGAGGGTACACCGAGTCCAAAGCATTATTTACTGTACCATGAAGAACTAACACAGCGACGACAATAATGCCATTGACTGGCTTACTGTGCAGGCCAACAGCACCTCACCCACTCCCATGCTCATTCTCATTCCCATTCGCATTCCCAGTCCTTCGCCAGAACCAAATTTGAGCAGCAGCACAAACAAAAACAGTACGAACAATGGCAGGACATTTAAATGGGAATAAAGTAAAGTTGTCTTCTAGCTAGAGATAAGCCGAGTGTCTGTGTCTTTCCCTCCGTATCCCTGGGTGAGATTGTTTATTGTTTATTAGAGATGATTATTATTAATATTCGCACAATGAGAACTTAACACTTGGCCTACACTCGTTGCTGCCATCGTTCATTTTGCACACCTAATGAGTTTTCATTGGAACTTCACTGATGAAAACTTTGCTATAGACTTGTGAGGGAGCTGCTCCTTCTGAGAATGTAATCTGGCTAGGATCGATGGAGCCGTTGGTGGTTATAAAACCACCTTTTTGCAGACATCAAATGTTGATAAACTCAATAAAGAAATATGTCAAGTGGTTGCCTTGAAACTGCTTAAGCTGCCACGTAACCTTCTCTGCCACTGGCAGCACTCTCTCACTCAACTTGAACCTACTCTTTCCTCGCCCTTGGTTGTGACCGCACATCAGTTTGTGGACTTCCGACAGGTCCGGGACTTGGCTCGTAACTTTCTCACCGTTTTTTTCCCCCCCATTTTGGCGCTCTCTAAGTGCATTTTAATTTGTCTTTCATGAAGATGCCAAGCATCGTCTGCTGCTCTTGCATCTCCTTACCCACCTGCTGTTTGTCTTCGTCTTGGCCATATTCTTCATTCTTTTTTCTTGGTCAGTGCAGCAAATTACAACAAATTAAATTTCCCCCAACTTGCCCTTTGCCAGGCTCCAGCAGTGCGGACCTGCTGGACAGGTGATTATGCATATTTTAAATGGTCAACTTCCATCATCTTCTCTCTTCCGCTCTTTACTCTTTCTCTCTCTGCCCCTCTCCCCACACTCCACTCGTCAAATGCAGTTCATGTCAAATTTTAATTTGCTTTTAATAACCAATGAAATCGGTTGAAAAAAATGTTAGGGAACGAATGTGACTGAATAAGTGAAAAGTTAACCAAATAAAAATATTTGTTTTTTATTGAACATTTACTGCATTCCCGAACATGCCCGCGTGTATTTGTTCAGTTTTTCATGGGGCTTCTGACAGTTGGCATAATTGATAAATCAACATGGAGCAGATTTTCCGAACACGCTTTCACCAAATTGTAAACTATTATTTCGGCGTTTTGCTTCCTTTTGGGGTTCATGCTTTTATATATTTTCGCATTTTGACTAAAATTGGGAAGATGGTAGGAGCACAGAACTGTGCAGAAATTATGAATTAGTTATGGCCCATTAGCCCAAGTGAAGATGGAAGCTGGGGCAAAGGCAAAGACAACGAGTAAGTGGCGTGTCCCGGAAGCGTCTGTCTTTCAATGAAATCAATTAGACACTGACTGGAAGCCAAAAATAAAATCACAGACAAGGTGAAATGTTTTTGACCATATTGGTTTGTTAGTTTTTAAAGCTAT